AAAAAAAAAAAAAAAAAAAGAGAGAGAGAAATGATTCTTGGATTAGAGATGAGATTGGTCTAGGAGTGGTTACTGTTATTAACACTCTTTCCTAGAACCCCCTCCACACAGCAGCACCTGAAGAAGGTCTATGCAAGTTTTGCCTTATGTATGTTTGTGGCTGCTGCGGGAGCCTATGTCCATGTGGTCACTCATTTCATTCAGGTAAGAACAGTTTTCTCTCCTGATTGTTATGGCATGAACTGTATTAAGAAAGACCAGCTCAACAGGACTGTCCAAGTCTGTGCTTTCCCTTAATCCTTATCAGAAGTTGAGTATCTGCACTCAGCCAGCCCCTTCCAGGTACTGAAAACAGAATGTCTTAACCTTGACACTGAATTGTGTGCTGCCAACGTATAAGACCCTGTTCCCCTCCCCCCTTCAGAGAGCAGAAGCATGGTGTGCCTGCTGGGACTCTTTTGCACAGTAGCCTTTTTAACTTTTCCTCCATTGTTCGTTGATTATGCCTAAATGACCATGGAGTACTTGAATACAAAACGCTGATTGTTTAATTTATTATTAGGAGAGGCAGGATTGAGACCTTTAATGAATTGACCCATTTTGTTTTCTGATACACTGTTATCTGCATGGTTGGGTAAAAACCTTTAATAACTCATTTTCCTGTGTGAAAGAGAGTTTGGGTTTGGCCAGAAGGAGTAGAAGGGACAGTGTGAGGAATTACCACATTTGAAGGTCTCACTGGTAAAATCTTGTCCGTTTTTAGCATAAGAGTGGGCCTTTGTTGGCATTTACTACTGTTTAGGAGAACTCTCTCTATGCTCAGACATCTCTTGGCAGGAGTTGTGAGAAAAATAACTCCAGATACTCAGAGGATAGGCTTTAATCCCTTGAGTTTTAGGCATAGTTGGCCCTTTTGCTTCTTGGTTGTAGGTTATTTTTATTTAAGTGAAATAGTTCTCATTATTCATGGAGTCTATATTTGGGAATTTACCTACTCACTAAAATTTGTGACCTTAAAATCAGTACTTGTGGCTCGGCGCC